TGAAGTCTAGGTGCAACCTATGACCGTATTGGTGTCCACTGGGGCCGTGACTATCTGAGTAACATATGCTGTCACCTGGCGCCATGGTGTCATCCAGGCCTGGGCTGCTGACATGGGCCATGTCTGGGTCCGCGACCCTATAGCAGCCATGGTCTGAGTTTACGTCCATGACTCCTGTTACCACAGAGAGCTCTGAGGATGCCCAGGGTCTGGTCAGACACTTGAGTCCATGTTGGTGTCCAAGGTCCATGCTGTTTCTAGGGTCATAATGATATGAGTAGCCTAGGTTTCTACCAGGGCTGGTGACATCCAGGTCTAAGCTGCTGCCAAGGGCCATGTCTGGGTCCGTGGTCCTACTGCAGATGGGGACTATGTTAATGTGCATGCCCGTGTTACCACAGTGGCCATAGGGGCCATGTATGTTGAAATCTGAGGCTGGTGCTGATCTGGCCCTGCCCTTCACTACCCCTGGGCTAGCTGTCATGCCTCTCACTAGACACTGCAGCAGGAAAGCTGGCCCTGCCCCTCATGGGAGAGCTGGCCCCATACACTGGAGAGAGAGGGCTCCACCACTCACCTCAGACATGAGAGAGATGGCCCCAATGGCATGGGCCTAGGAGAGCTGACTCTGCCTCTCACCTGAGCAGGGCAGTCCGACATTCCCAGACTGGCCTACTCAGCTACCACCCAGGTCCATATCCTGGGTCTTGAGTTAGCCTACCCTAATATCTACCTCATTTATGATTACTAGAGCAGGTAAAGGAGCTGGTCTTGCTGATTGATAGATGCAGGATCCCTATGATTCATGGCAATGGCAGGAAATCTGAGAGGAGTTTTGACGAGGGCCCAGTGATGATGGTGTGTCAGAGGCCAGAGGCATTGAACTAGGCCAATGACTCATTGCAATGAACATTGGCAAGTGGGGCCAACTAGACAAAAGGGCATACTGTGTGACACACCACAGTTCCCAATGCTACTATCAATGAAAAGGTATTTGAAAGGTAGGAAAAATTGAGGAGTGAAGTGATTTTTTTGTTTGTTTTGTTTTTAATTAAGATTTTTTGTAGGGGAATGCTGTAGGGGCTCAGAGAAGATATGGAGGGACTGAGAGTTGAGCAGGATTGGGATGCATGATACAAAATTCCTAAAGAATCAACAAAGAATTACATTACTTTTTAAAAGTCAGGAAATAACAAGTAATCCATAATCCAACTAACAGAAGTTTCACCACTCCCAATATCTCTGTTTTAAGCGGCCATCAAGCAGGCCTTCCTAGCGAGAGACTAGGCTAAAACAATGCTCTAAAATTGTTTTACATCTTACATCTTAATTAAAACTACTGACCACATAGTCTTTCTTCCTTAGAAGCAGTTCCATCACCACTTTCAGGATCACCTATAATAGTTTCCTGTGGCTAACATACCAATGGTTCCACAGTTAAGTGCTTGCTGTGTAAACACGAGGACCAGGGTCCAGATCTCCAGAACCCATTGAAATGCCAAGTATGCATGGTGATTCACCAGTAATTCCAGCCTCAGAAAGCAAAGACAGAATACCAGAGGAAGCTGGCTACAGAGACTCACCATATCTGTAAGCTCTTGGGTCAATTGAGAGACCTTGCCTCGTTAGATAGAGTAGAAGAGGATTTCCAGCATTAACCTCATTTCTCCACATGCACAAACTGTTGGGGGAAGTCCTGTGCATTTGTCAATAAAGTACTGTTGAGCCTATAGGGAACCAAGATAGGAGGGACTAGGAGTCCAGGAGAACTCTGGGAAGGAGAAACACAGGGAGTCGAGATGTAACGCCATTGGGGTAGGAAGCCCGGAAACCTCTCCGGTAAGAAACATATTTAGATTAACAATTATGGGGTAATACTTAAGTCAGAGCTAGCCAGTAAGAAACAAGCAAGGCCAACAGCTTCATAATTAATATAGCCTCCTGTGTGTTATTTGGGGACTACATCTCGGCAGAGCCCAGGCGGCTGGCGGGGGATAAACCAAAGCGGCTAGCAAAGAAAAAGCTTCTCCTTAACAACAAACACCTACATGTGCATGCCCATGCAAATGTGTATACATACACAGATGCACCACACACAGACACAAGAGAATCAAAACAAAAACACACAGAAGAACCATCTTGTGTAAGGTCTTACTGAGCAGGGCACTAGCAGGAATGCCTTCTTTTGTGGAGGCTCTCGGTACTCTTCCTCAGTCAACAGTAGATTCAGCTAGTAGTAACCTTGAAGAATAGTTACACTAGGAAATCTGAAACTGTATGGGGAGAGTTTCCTTCCTCTTTATAAGACTCTACCTGATTTTCTTTTCCAGTGTACAGAGGCGACTTGCATCTCTTAGCCATCAAAACCAGCTCAGATGTGGCACATCACAACTTTCATCTTTGGGGTTTCTCTACATAAGTACGCTGGCCTCTGACCACAGCCAGGAGAGTACCCACCTGATGCAATCAGGAAGATTGGTTCGCTTTGAATATGAAGTTCTTCCCACTGGCTCATGCGCTGAAGGTTTATTCCCCAGCTTGTGCTATTTGTAATGTTCTAGGGACTTTAAGAGGTAAAGCCTACCTGGAGGGGTTATTTTGTATTCTCTCTCTCTCTCTCTCTCTCTCTCTCTCTCTCTCTCTCTCTCTCTTCTCAGTGTCTCTGTCTCTGTCTCTCTCCTCCCTCAGTCTCTACCTCCCATCTGATGTGCAGTAACAGTCTATGACACATGTTCCTGCAGTCACCTTGTTCTTCCTGACGACAGGCCAGTGATATGGTGCCAAATAATTATGGACAAAATCTTCTGAAACTGAGAGTTAAAATAATCCTTTCTTCTTTTAGGTTGTTCTCATAAATATTTTGTTTACAGCTACAAATTGTAACTAATTTATAGATATCTCAGGTCAGTTTCCCTATATTAAACTCCTCAATTTAACTGAATCTTTTAAAATTTCTCCATCTATATAAAATATATATTCACAGGCAATGGCAATTCAGACATGTCACCAGAGTAGCTAATTGAGTAATTGCCTTCTACAATTACTGGCAGAAACCAGAGACAGCTTCACAATACTCGAAAGCAATTCAAATAGTCACATACTATATTGGATCATCTTCACTGGTACTTATTCATGAACCACTAAGAATTAGACTTTTATGTCTGTTTCTGTCCTGGAGATGAATTAGGCCTTTGTTCTAATTTCTAGATCATTGATGTATCCAAAGACAGGTAGTACATCATTTATCTTAATTTTTTTCCTACTAATGGCCAATTGCTTTAAAATAAATGAATCTATTGAATATCTTCATTACTTAAAAATTTCTAGTTTAATTTCCAACTAAAGTGCCCCAAACATTAGGTATTGTCTGTCATCCATACAGCAACAAGAAAGGCTGTTTCAGGACAGCTCTTTAAATTGATCTCAAAACCTATGAAAAAATTTGGGAATGGAAGTAGTGGTTCTGCATGTTTTCCCTCATTTATTCAGATGTGGGAAAACACTTAATAAAACTTACCATGTTAGCCATTTTAAGTATATCAGTTTAAATGCATCCCATAATGTGATACAATCACTACCATCACTCATCTCTAGAAGTCCACTCATCTAGCAAATTGAAAACTCCAGGCCCACTAAGCAGCTGCTTCTCATTCCTCCTTCTTCTACCCTTTGTAGTGTCCAATCCAACTTCCGAGCTGTTCTTTTGATTACTCTCTGTAGTGTATGTAAATAGAATCATACGCCATCCTTCTGTGGCTGGCTTCTTTCATTTTGCATAATGACCATTATACTTTGAAGTGTGATGGATTACAATGCACAAATTAAGATCATACAACTCTAGTAAAATTAAAACTATACAAGAAACATGAGTAAAATTCATGATACCATATTTGAAATTATTTCTGAATATGACATAAAGAGCAAAGACAAAAAGACATATAAATTGGACTTTGTGAAAATTAAAAATCTTTTTCATCAAAAAATGCAACAGAATGAAAAAGACTCCCATAGACTATAAGAAAACATCTTTGTAGGGAAAGGGGCAACGAGAGTGACTGGACAGAGAGAAGGAGAAATGGAATTGATATTATAAACCACAAAATTTAGATACTTCTGAATGTCAGATTACAGACTGAAAAGACACATAACACACATTTGCAACACCAATTCACTGTAAAGGGTTAAGTGGATCTGTTAGCCAACCTCAAAATATGAGCTTACAGACTATTCAGAAACTTTAATGAAGTAAATAAAAAATCAGACTAATGGAGTTGGAAGTCTTTTTATTTCAAGTCACATTCACTAATGAGATGAGATACATATAGAGTAGACCCTCACATAATTGCTAGGAATCAAAAGCAAAATAATACATCCTGAAATATCTCCTATTAGAATAAGGTGAACAAGCAGACAAGAAAATGCATCATATTATGATCCAAACCCAGGCTGACAATAGGAAACTGTGAGATTACTGGATATTCAGTATCTATTCTGCTCAGCTTAATTACGAGTGTTATAAATGGTGACTGGTGATGGCTGAAGTAAAAGATGAATGTTGTCTTGATTTGAGAATGACTAATGATAGTAATAAGGAATCACTAAATCCACAGCAACTTTGCAAAATCTTGAGTACATAAATGACCACAGAGCATTTGGTAGAGTTCACACCTCCAGCAAAACTTCCCTTTCAGCTTATGGAGCTAGTCAGAGATGGAGAAAATCTAAAGGAAATGAACAATTTTCTGGATAGATATCACTTACCAAAATTAAATCAAGAACAGATAACAATTTAAATAGACCTGTAATCCCTAATGAAATAGAAGCAATCATCAAAAGTCTCCCAACAGAGAAAAAAATGAGGGCCAGGTGGTTTCAGTACAGAATTCTACCAGATATTCAAAGAACAGATAATTCCGGTACTTTTCAAAGTGTTCCACACAATAGAAGCAGAAGGGTCATTGCCAAATCAAATCCAAGTTCCATGATCAAGTAGGCTTCATCCCAGGGATGGTTCAACATATGAAAATCCATCAATGTAATCCACCATATAAACAAACTGCAAAAGAAAAATCACATGATCTTCTCACTAGATGCTGAAAAAGCCTTTGACAAAATCCAACACCCCTTCATGTTAAAGGTCTTGGAGAGATCAGAGATAACAGGAACATACCTAGACATAATGAAAACAATATATAGCAAACCAAAAGCCAACATCAAAATAAATGGAGAGTAACTCAATTGGACTCCTCTAAAATCAAGAACAAGACAAGGTTGTCCACTTTCTCCATATCTCTTCAATATTGTCCTTGAAGTTCTAGCTAGAGCAATAAGACAACCAAAGAAGATCAAGGGGATACAAATTGGAAATGAAGAAGTCAAACTTTCACTATTTGCAGATGTTATAATAGTTTACATAAGTGACCAGGGAACTCCTACAGCTGATAAACACCTTCAGGAAAGGATACAAGATTAACTCAAAAAGAAATCAGTAGCCCTGCTATATTCAGACAATAAACTTACTGAGAAAGAAATCAGAGAAATGTCACCCTTTACAATAGCCACAAACAACATAGAATATCTTGGGGTAGAGCTAACCAAACAAGCAAAAGATTTACATGGCAAGAACTTTGAGTCTTTAAAGAAAGAAATTAAAATTACCAGAAAATGGAAGGATCTCCCATGCTCTTGGATAGGTAGAATCAACAAAGTAAAAATGACAATCTTACCAAAAGCAATCTACAGATTCAATGTAATCCCCATCAAAATACAGGTACAATTCTTCACAGACCATGAAGGCCTCTGTAATAAAGCTTCAAGTCAGGGAGAGTTATAGTGCCAAAAACAGTTTGGTATTGGCATAAAAATAGACAGGTATACCAATGGAATTGAATTGAAAACTCTGATATTAACCCTACAAACACCTGATTTTGGACAATAGATTGATATCTATCACCATGCACAAAGCTTAAGTTCAAATGGATCAAAGACAGCAACATAAATCCAGCCACACCGAACCACTTAGAAGAGAAAGTGGGAGGTACCCTTGAACGAATTGGTACAGGAGACTGCTTCCTGAACATAACACCAGTAGCACTGACACTGAGATCGACTTCCAGAAACTGAGAAGCTTCTGTAAGGCAAAGGGCACAGTAAACAAGACAAAACGGCAGCCCACAAAATGGGAAAAGATCTTCATCAACCCCACATCTGACAGAGGACTGTTTTCCAAAATTTACAAAGAACTCAAGAAGCTAGTCACCAAAACATTAAATAGTCCAATTAAAAAGTGGTGCACAGAAATAAAAGAGAATTCTCAATAGAGGAATCTAAACTGGCATAAAGACACTTACGAAAGTGCTCAAATCCTTAGCCATCAGGGAAATGCAAATCGAAACAACTTTGAGATACCATCTTGCTCATGTCAGAATGGCTAAAATAAAAAACACGAATGACAATTCATGCTGGAGAGGATGTGGCGAAAAGGGAACACTCCTCCACTGCTGATGAGACTGCTAACTCATACAGCTACTTTGGAAATCAGTATGAAGATTCCTCAGGAAAATGGGACTCAGTCTACCTCAAGACCCAGCAATTCCACTCTTGGGCATATAACCAAAGGATGTACATTCGTACAACAAGGACATCTGTTCACAGCAGCATTATTTGTAATAGCCAGAACCTGTAATAGCCCCTCAGCTGAATAATGGATAAAGAAAATATGGTATATTTACACAATGGAATACTACTCAGTGGAAAAAAACAATTGAATCTTGAAATTCGCAAGCAAAATGATGGCACTAGAAGAAACCATCCTGAGTGAAGTAACCCAGTCATAAATAAATGGTATGTACTCACTCATATATGGATATTAGACATAGAGCAAAGGACTACCAGTCTACAGTCCACACCACCAGAGAGCTAGGAAGCAAGGACAGCCCTAAGAGAGACATGCATGGTCTGGTAGAGAAGGGGAAAGAAACAAGATCTCTTGAGTAAATTGGGAGCATGGGGGGAGAATAGAGGGAATTAAGAGAAAGAGAAGGAGAGAAAAGGAGGGGAGAAGAGAACCTGCAGGAGCAGGAAGATTGAGTCAGAGGGAAAATACATGAAAGCAAGAAAAGTGGTATCATAATAGAGGGAGCCATTATAGGTCTAAAGAGAAATCTGGCACTAGGGAAATGTCAAGAGATCTACAAGGATGACACCAACTAACAATCTAAGCAATAGTGGTGAGGCTACCTTAAATGCCCTTCCCCAGTAGTGAGATTGATAACTACCTAATTGTCATCCTATAGTCTTCATCCAATAGCTGATGGAAGCAGAAGCAGACACCCACAGCTAAACACTAAGTCTGAACTCCCAGAATCCAGTTGCAGAGAGAGAAGAATGATGAGCAAAGGGGTCAAGATCAGGCTGGAGGAACCCAAAGAAACAGCTGACCTGAACAAGGGGGAGCTCATGAGCCCCTGACTAATAGCTGGGAAACCAGCTAGGACAGAGCCAGACCCCCTGAATGTGGGTGTCAGTTAGTAGGCCTGGGCAGTCTATGGGACCTCTGGTAGTGGATCAGTATTTATCCCCTAGTGTATGGATGGACTTCAGTAGCCCGTTCCACAAAGAGGAATACTCTCTCAGCCTAGGCAAATGGGGGAGGGCCTAGGCCCTGCTGCAAATGATGTGACAGACTTTGAAGATCCTCCATGGAAGTCCTTACCTTCCCTGGGGAACAGGAAGGGGATGGGATAGGGGGTCAGTGGGCTGCATGGGAGGAAGTGAGGGAGAGGGAACTTAGATTGACATGTAAAACAAGATTGTTTCTAATTTAAATAAAAATCATTTTAAAAAATACAGATTTCTGGAAAATGTCTGTTGGGTTCTTGTTAATTGAGTGAGTTTGAAGGTGGAGGGTCTGTAAGCCACGCAGTGGCTTCATGTAGGCTGCTTAAATGTTAATTATCAGGTCAGACTCTCCAGTGTAGAAAGAAGGAGGGCTAAGGTAAGAGTACAGAGTGTTCTGGCATCTTGTACAGCCCTTTCCACTGCTTGATTCTAGAATAGCCCGACAAGATGCAAACATGACAACACTTGACTACTATTGGAAAGTCATCTTCATATTTCTGGTCAGTGGGTGTGTAGATTCTTTATTTTTTAGGTTTAGGCATTATTTGAAAGAGAAGTCACTTGAATGGAAACTCCCAAGTCCAGATTAAAGATGCTCCAGCTGCTATGAGGGCTGGTGAGATGCCTCAGCAAGTCAAGACACTCATTTACAAGCCTGACAGCCAGCTGAGGTCCATCACTGGAACCCACAGCATGGAAGAAGATAACTGACCACATTCAACCTATGAGAAAATACATCTAGAAGACTATGTTTAAAAATCTGCTGAACACCGGGCAGTGGTGAGGCAGAGGCAGGCGAATCTCTGAGTTCGAAACCAGCCTGGTCTACAAGAGCTAGTTCCAGGACAGCCTCCAAAGCCATAGAGAAACCCTGTCTTGAAAAACAAAACAAAACAAAACTCTGCTGACCTTGTTTAAGTATATAGATAGTTTAATTGATAACTTAATCACTAAACAATGATAAATTGTTCCTATTTATGAGAAAGAAGAGGCAGATCAGTAAGATTGCACTGGGCATTTGAAACAGGTTTTGCTGGTGGGACTCCATGTCATTCTGGAAAACTTTTTAGCATGCATTTTCTGCAAAATACTAATTTTTAAATTAAATTCTGTATTTATTTTATTTTTACATTTTTTATCATTTCTTTGCTTTTATTTTATTTGCATTGGTGTTTTTCCTACATGTATGTCTGTGTGAGATTATCAGATCCCCTGGAACTGGAGCTACAGACAGTTGTGAGCTGCATCTGGGTTCTGGGAATTGAACCTAGATCCTCTGGAAGACCAGCCAGTGCTCTTAACCACTGAACCATCTCTCCAGTCTCTATTTTTAATTTTTATATTTAAAAATGTAGACAATGTGTTTTAATCATATTTCCCCTCCACAAATCTTCCCAGATCTATCCATACCTCCCTACCCACAAGCTTCATGTGCTCTCTCTTAAAAAATTAAATAAAAACAGACAAAAAAAGAAAAATCAGTGACACAAAAAACACCAAACAAGCTCAACAAAGCAGAACAAGAGACAAACAAGGAAAACATGGGGTCTGCTAGACAACAGATAACTACTCCTCACACCCAGCCTGCCCTGGAGTGGTTGGTATACTTAGTGAAGCACCATTGAAGGAAACAGACTTCCCCTTTCCCAGGAGGTATCATTTTCAAATAGCTATTTGGTTAGGAGTGTGACTGTGTCCACTTTCCCCTCTCAGTGCTGAGATTGTGTCTGGTTTGATTCTGTGCAGGTCTTGAGGGTGCTGTCACAGTCTCTGTGTGCTCATATGTCTACCAGTCCTGTTGGGTCTAGATGACACTGTTTCCTTGGTATCGTCCACCTGAAGTAGAACTTTCAAGCCATAAATAAATAAACAAATAAATAAATAGATACGAAAAAACCTAATTGGCAGGTGTTGGACTGTCCTTGTATCTTGGAACAAAGGGCTGGACTATTATACCAGAGCCAATCACTTTTTAGCACAATTTGGACTCCTTGAGGAACCTAGAAAACGATCACAGCTGCTTGCTTCAATCCCTCAAGGCGTAAACCAGGACTGTGTCAGTCAACATCACACCATGCTATTGCAAGTATTGGTGGATTCTACCACCCTGCATTGGAAACCCAACCATTTCCACCTAAGCTTGAGAAGTACTCACCTGGTGGCCTAGCATGGGGATTGCTTTCAGTGATGGAAGGTATAATGCTGTTATTGGTGGTGGTGTAGGTGACACAGGACTCCTTTGCATGAAAGATGATATGCCATGCTTGGTGCAAACACACTTCTCTGCCTATGCAGGAAAAAGTGGCTTGTTCTGGTCACTGTTGAATGGGGAGAGAGAAACCTCCAAGGTGCCTTGTCTGAAACTGCAACATTAGTCCCAATTAAAGGCATCTCTTGAGTGGTCTTTTCTAGCTTCCTTATAGCAGGGTGGCCTGAGATGGGGATACGAATCAGTGGCAGCAAAGACTATAGAATGGTGGCAGTGACGGTGCAGCAGCTGCAGGTTGAGCTACAGAAGTAACAAAGTAGCGTCTGCTTGACTGCAGAAAAGGCAGAGCTGAGGAAATGGAGGAGCAGGGGCAGTGGAGAAGGAGTGCAGCAATGGCAGTAAACATGATGACAACAGAGAAAGGGGTGGTGGCAGTCCTCAGGACCAAGGGTCTTAAAGACCCTAAACTGAGAAACCATGAAAGACTACAGTCAAGAGCTGAGGACTCTGGGCCTCTAGGTCTGGATGTTCCAGCTAAGCCATGCCAATTTCTTAAGCTGCCCGAGAGCCCTAACACTTGTAGCCCTGAGGACTGACTACATAAGAGCTATAAGACATGGCAGGGGGGAGGGTCCCCACACCCGAGGCCAACTGCATGAGAGCCAGGACAGGACACACCTGCTGCTGCTTTTTGCTGTGTCAAAGAAGAGTGCCACAAGACTACCAAAGATGAGCACTGGGAGTGCTCCCATGCTGCCCCCACCGACATTAGCCACCCAGGTAGAGCAACAGGATCCCAGACAGTAGATTGGTAACATTCTCACCTCCAACCATGGATCTCACTCAGCTTGGGCTGCCATTATCAAATATTACAGACTTGACACAATTTATTTTCTTATAGTTCTTAAAACCACAAAGCCCAAAGTTGGGGAGTCAGATTGTTTATTGTCTGGTAAAGAATTTTTTTTAATTTGCATGTGACCACTTTCTTATGTCCTCACATGGTGAAAGAAAGGAGGCTCTCTTTCTCTTCTAAGGGGATAGTTCTATCATATAGTGCCTCCCTTAGGACCAGATTTGACTATGATAATGTCCTAAAAATCAATCTCCAGATGCAGCCACCCTGCGGGAAAGCTTAGAATTTCATGGCATTAACTTAGTGGAGAAGGGGCACAAGCCAGGCTCAGGAAGCATGTTTTCCCAAGCCATCTCAACTCTTTAGTGACTTTGGAGCCCTTGTCATGGTATGTTGTCATTTTAGGTGCAAGGACTAAGACAGTATGTGTCCCATTGACATCTATTGTTAGTCCCTACCATCATCGAATTACCAATGGAACATAAACATGGCCTGGAAAAATACTTGCAGACAAGATAGGGAAAATACAATTCTTTTGAGAAGTGTCTCATACTGTGTTTCAAATGGACTGAATTCAGTATTGTAGCCTCAGCTGTCCCAGAACTTGGGAGGCTGTGTCAGAAGACCCAGGGTTTTAGATCATGGAAAGTTCTTATATCATATGCCATACCACACAGTTGGAATGTTTTCTGGAAATGTAGGACATTCTCCAAGCAATGGTTCCTAGAAGGTGGAGAAACATACATTCTGACCAAGACTTGTGTCAATGTTAGAAGCATCTTCATTCACAATACCTAAAAACAACCAACAGCCTAGATACATCAACTTTTTAAAAGAGAAACTTGGTTTATCTGCTCTTGTGATAGTTAGGGAAGCTCCATTTTGTACCAGGCACCCCCTTTAGCAGATGTTGGCCTTTGAACTAAATTCCTGAAAGATGACCACCTGGAAACTTGTCCCCTACCCCAGAATAGTGTAACTAATGTGAAATGATTAACCACTGTTTGGCTTCTGTAAACTCGTTTATCAGAGTGTGCAGGGGGAGTGAGGCAGCTTCTCAAGTCAGTAAATTCTACAAAAATGAAGTAATTATAGTCTTCACCTTTAAAAGCCCTCCCCTTACCTGCTTCTAAGTGCCATGTCTCTGATTTGACTGAGAGACTACAGCCCTGTTAGCAGTTTTAATAAATTTAACTAATTATAATCTGTATTGAGTCTAGTCTTTTCCTGGTAGTCTTGAACTCCAGAACACTACAAATGTCATTTCTGAGCAATAAAAATAACACAATTGTAGCCAGGCATTGGTGGCGCACACCTTTAATCCCAGCACTCAGGAGACAGAGGCAGGCGAATCCCTGTGAGTTCAAGACCAGCCTGGTCTACCGAGCTGAAAGACCCCGGCCCAGCCTACACAGAGGCAGCTGAGGCTTATGGAAAATTCCGTTTCCCCCACAGCTCAGCTGAATAGTCATTTTTTTATCAGAAGGGAGCTCAGCTCAAGGTCTTCATGGCTGAGTAGTCACTACTATCAGAAGGGAACTCTGTCCAGGCAGGGACACAGGTGGTGTCTGCTGTCTGCATAGCCACACAGGAACCTATTGTTCCTCAGATAGGGCCAAGGCCGAGACTTGAGTTCCAAGCAAAACCTCAATTGCCCTCGATTCTGAGCCCCAGCCTCATTTAAATTGCCCAATCAGGGTCCTGTAACTAGGCTTCTTGCTTCTGTACTGCGCTTTTTGCTATAAAAGGACCCCTGAGTCCCCAGCTCGGCGCGCTCAGCCCCCCAAGACTGAGACGCCCGGGTACCCGTGTGTAAATAAAGCCTCTTGCTGTTGCATCCAAGCTCGTGGTTTCGTTGTTCCTTGGGTTCGGGTCTCCCTCCCGTGAAAGTCCCCCGCCTGGGGTCTTTGAGCGAGTTCCAGGAAAGGCTCCAAAACAATACAGAGAAACCCTGCCTCGAAAAACAAAACAAAATAAAAACACAATTGTGTACTACTTTCCAACTGTGTGAAAATCAGGAAAAAATAAACCTACAGTGACAGGAAGCAGATTGGTTGTTTCTGAAGACATGGGATGATGGGGATTCCTCATTGTAGGGCATAAGGAAACATGTTAAGGAGGGGAAATTTTTTGCATCACAATTGTGGTGGTTATGAAACTGTAAAATTTGTCAAAATCCATCTAGTTTACAATTAAAATTGGTAAACTTTATTGCATGTAAATTATGCCTCACTAAACCTAATAAAAATGAATTTGCAGGGACTGGAGAGATGGCTCAACAGGAGAGCACTGGTGGCTCTTGAAGAGAACCAGAGTTCAGTTCCCAGCAACTCACAACTTTCTGGCAACTACAGCCCCAGAGGATCCAGTGCCCTCTTCTGGCACTGTGGGTGCCAGCCATCACATGATGCACAGGCATACAAGCAGACAAAACACCCATACACTCAATAAATTTAAAACACGGATTTGCAAAATTACTCTAAATGGCACTAAGAGAAGCTCAAGAAAAGGAAATGCTAAGATTGAAGTCACAAAGTAGTGCCTTCTCCTTTTCTTATGGGGAGTCACTGTTTCCAGGATGCTTGAGATGAGAGTTGTGAGGTAAGACTGTTTGGGATAGACTCTTATCTACAGATTACTGCAGCTGCCCTTGCATGCACAGCAAAGAGAGAATAATTTTCCTTCCAGGAGGCCCATGAGTGTTCTACTACAAGCACTAAATTCTGATTATTATCACTTTCTTTTAACCTCAATGTTGCTGCTACAAACAGTAAGCAAATAGGCCTTGGGTCAGGTAGTCATGGGTCAAATAACATCACTGCCATTTATGGAACAGAACTGTGCCTGTTATTAAATTAAAGCCTGAGTTGGCATCTTCTGATGACTGAAAATAACACAATGATCTCACAAAGTGACCTTAAGCATTTGCCAACAAGCCATGTCATTGGTGAGGAGTAGCAGGTGAGAGTGGTAGGTTGACTGGGGAGATTGTGAGTTTAAGGGATTTTGACAGTCTGCGGCTGCAGCTGGACCAGGTGTCAAGACCACTCCACATCAAGTCAGGTTCTCTTGCCCCTCATTGTATTAGTTTCCAGTGACAAAATGCCTGGCCAGAGTAAGTTAAGGAAGAAAGGGTTTATTTTGTCACACACTTTGTCAGGCCCAGAAAGGCAATGCTGCAGGAATCAGAAGCAGCTGGTCTTACTGTCCTCATTTGGCAGCAGGGACTTGAATGCTGGTGGTCATTTCACTTTCTCCCTTTATAATAAGTCCAGGAATCCAGCGTGTGGAATGGAGATGCCCACATTTACAAGTGAGTCTACCTACATCAATTAATTCGACCTGGAGAATTCTTACAGATGAGTTCATGGTGGTTTCCGTAATTCTAAATACCACCAATTTGACAATCAGGATTAACTGGACACTAGGGTATCATGAGGCAAAACACAGCCCAGGTACACCTCATTTTGTCATGCCTGATAAATGCCAAGGATAAGAAACCCTGACCTACAGAGAGGCTGCTGCCATACTGCCCATTATGACACTGGAGAAGATATATTCTGTGTGTTACATGGGATGTTGTTAGCCAACATCTCCCTGCAAGTGAAGGTGAAATTTCCATCTTCACTACCCTAAAATATGAGGAGGGAGAGAAAGAAAGACAATAGGAGGGAGGGAGGAAGGGAGGGGGGAGGGAAGAGAAAAGAGACACAGGGGACAAGGATAGGGACCAGTGGAGACAGAAAGACCCCACCTGCACCCACTGGAAGATGAGATGGGAAGAAGACAGAATAAGAACTCACTCAGAAATAGAAACACCAACATGACTCCAATAGAATCTAGAGAGCCCATGCCAGCAAGACCTGAAAAGCACAACATAGATGAAGCAGAAGAGACAGACCTTAAAATTATTTTATGAATATGATAGAGACCCTCAAAAAGGAAACGAGGAAATCCCTTAAAGAAAAAGAAGAAAAAACAAACAAAAAATACATGAAATGGAGGAAAAAGCGAACCAAAAAATTCAAGAAACAAACAAATCTCTTAAAGAATCTAAAGAGTACCAAGAAAAAACAACCAAACAAATGAAGGAAGCAACTCAAACAGTTGAAGGATTGAAAACTGAAACAGAAACAATAAAGAAAACACAGAAGGAGGGGATGCTGGAATTAGAAAAGCTGGGTAAATAATCAGGAACTACAGATGCAAATATCACCAATAGAATACAAGAGATGGAAGAGAGAATCTCAGCTGTTGAAGACTCATTAGAGGATATACAGTCATCAACCAAAGAAAACCTCAAATCCAGCAAATCCCTAACACAAAATATCCAGGAAATATGGGAAACCATGAAGAAGCCAAACCTGAGAATAATAGGTATAGAAGAAGGTGAAGAAATACAGCTCAAAGGTACAGAAAACAGATTCAACAAAATCATAGAAGAAAACTTCCCTAACCTAAAGAAGGATATGTCTATGAAAATACAAGAATCTTACAGAACACCAAATAGGCTGGACGAGAAAAAGAAGTCACCTCACCACATAATAATCAAAACATCAAACCTACAGAATAAAGAGAAAATATTAAGAGCAGCTAGGGAAAAAGGCCAAGTAACATAGAAAGGCAGACCTACCCTAATTACACCCAAATTCTCAATGGGAACTATGAAAGCCAGAAGATCCAGGACAGATGTCCTACAAACACTAAGGGAACAAGGATGCCAGTCCAGACTACTATATCCAGCAAAGCTTTCAATTACTGTAGATGGAGAAAACAAAATATTCCATGACAAAGCCAGATTTAAAGAATACATAGCCACAAATCCAGCCCTACAGAAACTGCTGGAAGGAAAACTTAGACCCCATGAAGATAACTACATTCACAAAGACATAGGCAATAGATAATCCCACTTTACCAAACACCAAAAGAAAAAGGAGGAGAACCTACACACTATAATACCACTATCAATAAATCAAAAACAAACAAGAATCATCATTAATGGTCATTAATATCCCTCAATGTCAACGGTCTCAACTGCATATAAAAAGACACAGACTAGCAGAATGGATACAAAGACAGAACCCTTCCTTCTGCTGCTTACAAGAAACACATCTCAACATCAAAAACAGATGTTACCTCAGAGTAAAGGGTTGGGAAATGATTTTCCAGTCAAACAGACCCAAGAAACAAGCTGGTGTAGCAATCATAATATCTAACAAATTAGACTTAAAAATTAAAATCAATCAAAAGAGATGAAAAAGGATATTTCATATTCATCAAAGGAAAAGCCCATCAAGATGAAGTCTCCACTTTGAACATCTATGCCCCAAATACAAAGGCACCCACATTCATGAAAGAAACATTACTAAAACTCAAATTGCACATAAAATCTCACACACTAGTAGTAGGAGACTTCAACAATCTACTCTCACCACTAGACAGGACCTCCAAACAGAAACCTAACAAAGAAACAAAAGAATTAATAGAAGTTATGACCCAACTGAGTTTAACAAATATCTACAGAACATTTTATCCAAACACAAAAGGATATACCTTCTTCTCAGTGCCACATGGAACCTTCTCTAAAATCAACCACATTACCAGAAACATAGCAAACCTCCACAGATACAAAAAATTGGAATAGCCCCCTGTATTTTATCATACCACTATGCATTAAAATTAGAATTCAACAATAGCACAAATTGCAGAAACCCTACAAACTCATGGAAACTGAACAATGCACAATTGCACCATCCCTGGGTAAAGGAAGAAATAAAAAAAGAA